CTCTTTCTGAGGATCTTATTCTTGAATAGAGGAATGGCGAATAGATCTGTGATAATCCTCTGGACTAGTCACAAGTTCTGGTAAATCATAGCCTCTCAGAAGATGTCCACTGTTTTGTTGAGCAAAGTAATACAGCTGCCTGGCAAACATTGGTTCAACCTTGAGAACAGACAAAATGTTAATCAGACATGTGACAGAAGTTCATTCTCCTCATCTTAGTTATTTACAGTGGTTTTAAGTTAAGAACAAGGCAGCACAAAACTCTTCCGCTTACTAGAATGGGAAAATGATTTGGGTGGTCTCACTAATCTCTGTTTCAAGCTAGAGATTGCCTGCTCTGCTCCCAAGTGCCTTGCTAACTGCACACACTTCTTACCTCCAAGGTCTTCGTTTAGAAGGGCATGTACCCATGATACAAATGATGTATTAGCAATTGGAGCTCCTTTGCCAGACCCTGGGTGTGAGCGATGCCTACAGGCCAGACATGCCCGTGGCCACTTGATGTCTTCAAATGCACAAGCAAAGTGCTGAAAATCTCATCTGTATTGTAAAGTACTTTGAGGACTTAACTGGAAATGCTTGAGTCCTCAGGTAGACTGAGATATGGCACCAAACAACTGTGTTTGAAATTAGACTTCAATCTAACACCAAGGTTACTTTTGTTTCTGTTCATTCAAGCTCTGATGAGGAACTTGTTCAAGCACCAAGAGGAATTCGTGTGATTTAACGCTGCCTTCACCTCTGCCTCTTCAGAGACCACCATTACCCCTCAGGGTTTTGGGCTCTGACTGCAAATATTTCAGTTGCACACTGAGAGCAAACACCTGAAGCTCTCCTTACTCTCAGGGGACGGACAGGTTGGACAACTCTTCTCCATAACCCTTTTCTGCTGGTCAGCCACCCCCTCCACATTAAGACACAGGCACCACTTTGGAGGAAAAATACACTGTCTTTGGGTCATGCCTCTGGGAAGGGAGAGAGTCAGAAGAGATAGCTGCTTTAGAGTAGCACCACCTTCCTTTCCTGTCCTTGACATTTGGAGGCAGCTGAGCACCTCCCATCCCACCATGGGGGAGATGAGAAGGCAGTAGGGCAGGTGAGGCAGACAGCTCCCAGGGCATAGTTGTCTGGTGGGATGGTGAAAGCCCACCAGCCCATGAGCCAGGGCATCCTGAGAGGATGAGCAGGTTGAGGAGCAACTGGTAAGGAAGAAGCAAAGCTCTGGGAAAAAGCAGGAGGTACACGTTCACAGAGAAGCTACCAGGACAAGAGATGGAGAAGGGGGCTGGAAAGACGATGCTATGAAGGAGGAATGGAAAGCTGGAAAATCAAAATAGGGATGGAAAGAGTTTAAGGAGAGACAGGGATGGAGGCCTAACTCTAACCAGTCATTGCATAGCTCGGGATGGATTTGTGAGCTTCCCACCTTCCACCCCAGAGACTCACTAAGCTGCAGTCTGGCAGCATGAATGGTATGCAGCTAAGAGGCCACAGCTTATGACAAAAGTCTTACTTGGAACTCACACTGCTACCAAAGGGTCTTTCAAAAAATTAAAATAGATGCCAGAGCTGCAGTAAGCTAAGCCCTGCCGCTAACATGTGTATCACCACCTCTCTTGTGGTTTTATGGGCCAATACAGCCAATTTAGAAAGTACCTGGTCTCAGTCTCCGTCATCACGTTTTCTCAGATAGCATCCTGAAACACTAGCTTTGAGTGTACACGAACTGTGGTCAGTCAGCCCATAAGCTTGCCAGCTACCTTAACCCCGAAGCTGCACAGCCAGCCCCTGCATCCCATTAAGGGCTGAGGTCCCTGAGATGCAGGCTGGGATTGTGGAGCACCTTCAGGTGCAGCGGTTGTGAAAGCACCACGCCCTGCACTGGCCTGGCAGCCCAAACAGCTGCACTGCTGAGCCAGCAATAACACAGCGCAGCTCTTCCAGGGTACCTTTCAGCTTTAGGTTTTGAAGAGATCTGCAAGAGAGCATGGATGATGCTTACACTACACAGAGAAAGAAATCAGGTGCTATGCCCTACTGAGGGCTACCAGTCAGTCCTTGGCACATCTGGGGATTCAACTCTGGTCTGGATGGTGCTGCATTTTCATGAATGTATTACCTTCCTCACAACCTACACAAGGCAGAAAAGCCTGACCAGCAGATTCATATCCTCCAAGGAATATGTTTCTTTAAGGTAAGTCAGAAGTACTACTTACATGGGCTGTAATTAGTTTCCTCTGCCTCTGTGGATCTGGAAACTCCTCCCCAAAGCACAGCGCAACCTGGTATCTTGGCAGTGGGCGTCCATGGTGAGCAAAGGCTTGCAGCTCTGGGAAGAGAGAAAGGGCCGTGTTGTGGGTTAACCCTGGCAGGCAGGCAAGCATCATGTAGTCATTCGCTCAATCCCACCACCGGGATAGGGGAGAAAATTGGAAGGGTAAAAGTGAAAAAACTTGTGGGTTGAGATAAAGAACAGTTTAACAGCTAAAGAAAAAAAAAGACAAAACAAAACAAAGAAAAACAAGTGATGCAAAAAGCAGTCACTAACCACCAGCAGACCAATGCCCTATCCATACCACCGCAACAGCAACCTCTGGTAAACTCCCCCGCCTTGCTGACCACAAGGTCATATGGTAGGGAATACCCCTTTGGTCAACTTGGGCTGTCCTGGCTGTGTCCCCTCCCAACCTCTTGTCCACCCTAGCCTACTTGCTGTGCAGGCAGAGTGAGAAACTGAAAAAGCCTTGATGCTGTGCAAGCACTGTTCAGCATTAGCTAAAACATCTTTGTGATATCCACACTGTTTTGATCACAAATCCAAACCATTGCATCACATGGGCTGCTATGAAGAAAATTAACTCTGTCCTGGCTAAAACCAGTACAGGCCCATAACAAAGACTTTGTGGATGGCTGAGCTGTGAATAGAGGACTCTGTAGCACAATGGGAGAAGATGAAGTAAATCCAGGGGAAGATGAGAGAGGTCAGGAAAAAGACACGAGGCAAAAAGAAGACACTGAATTTGGAGACATTCCCACATATAATTTTTCTATTTGCCTTGTCTCACAAGTCATTTCATATGCACAAGTTGGGATGTATTCCAATTAGTACTTTTCTTGGACCTCAACAGCAGAACCTCCTGGAGCAGACCCTGGTGGTAGCCAGGACCCACTCAAGTGGTCGCCCAGTGGCAGCACTGAATCCAATGGCTTGGTAAAGCCAAAGACTCAAAGTACTGCCAGCCACTGAATTCAGCCTCAGCTAGACACAGGCATGGAAACACTGTCACCACTGTGCCTAGAAAGGGACAGGGAGGCAGGGGAAGGTGAAGGACCTTATTTAAGCCATGCACTGAACCAGCAAAAAAAGCCTGCATCTTCTGTGCTTCTGAACTCCCTTCACTAACTCACAACCTTGCACAAAGGAAACAGTCAAATTATATTATTACTCCAATACTTGAAGCATCTATGAAAGATAGCAGTGAGTTCTTTATAAGAGACTTCCACTTGGACCAAAATCACTATGTTTTTTAGACACTGTATTTCCTTCCAGAAAAAAAAGAAAATTTAATCTAATACAATATCCTCATTAAAGTCTACATTATGTGAAGCGTTTCTACACAGTTGATTGGTAAAGATGTCATTTTAATTTATAACCATGTTCATGCTTTCTGGAAAAAGTTGAAATTAATATTAAAAGTAATGTCTTTTAAGGAAGCACCCCTGCTATACAGGGAAAGGACAGCCTTCAAATTTGGCATGACAGATGCACCTCTTGCTAAAATACACTCCTGCCATTCCTACTCTAAACCACAAGCTTTTCAGAGTAAGGTGTGAATTCAGTGACTACCGCAATAGTGTCCTAACCCTGGTCTTATTGAGAGGGTCAGTTATAAGAGTAAAACAATGGGTAGCTCACTTAAAACACAGAGTAAAACATAGTTCTACTCAGGGTCTCCCTCAAAACCCTGGTTTCCTTTTTTTTTTTTATTTTACTCCAGTTTTATTCGGCCTCAGCTGATCTCCAGATCCTGAATACCTGTGGAAGTGCTACATAGCAGCTTGCGGCACAGGCCTGGAAAAGTAAGCCCTTTCTCATCAGCAGGATAATTGGGCCTTGAGGTCAGCTTCACACTTATCCAAAAACCTCCACCCGCGCTCTCTCCCTTTCCAGGTCCAAGTGCTCCTTCACTGCAGAGCTCCCCACACAGCTCCTCAAACCTTCCCCATCTCCTGCTAGTCCAGCTCCAGCCACCCCTCCTTTTGTCAAGCCAATCCTCTTCTGGCTGCCACCCTCTTCTCTATCCTCCTACGCTTTACTCAGCCCCATTTACTCCATGCAGTACTCCCCAGGGACCATCCAGCCATTTTCTGATTTATTGCCATTTTAGCCTTCTCAACAGTACAGGCTGCTCTACACAGCCGTCAATGCTCTGAGGCAGCTTGCACTGCAGGGTCCAGCTTCTCAAGGGGGTCTTAATATGGTCGGTCCATAGCAGTTCTGCATCTGTGCCTTTTTCTGGTGTTCAAGATTTCCTCTCCTGGTAGAGGTCTCCTGCCACTTTTCCCAAGAAAGGCCCAGTTTTCTAAGGAGGGAAATCCCAAGGTTGCCCATAGTCTGGGACTTCAGTACATTCAATTAACACGCAGATGTGGTACGCTCACGACAGGTCACCTACAAACCTAGCCGAGCATCAACACATGCAAAAACCCACTTTGCACACACCACAGACTATGACTTCAACCACATGCTTGGGTTTGCACAGGCACTGGTGCATAAGTAATTTAGGAGGGGGGAAAAAATAACTATTGCTTAAGCTTATCTTTGGGGTTAAGTGTCTAAAAAGAGATGTCCTGTCAACTGTCTGGAAGAACCCAGAGTACATCTGAAAAACCACCTGAGAAAAGGGAAAGGGATTTCCAAAACCATCATGAGACGCAGAATTATACGTCTTTAAATTAGCATGTGATTGAAGCCCAAGCCAATACGTTGACCTCAAATTCCCCTTTTTAACTGTCAATTTTCATATCCATATAAAATTTCTCTCTTCTAATGCATTTCTTGCTTGCCCATTTTGCTAGGATGATGCATCAACCCTTGAATATAAAACATGCTAAAGCTGTTGGTTTGGGTTTGATTTTTTTAAATTTTTTTTAATTTTGCAAGGCATCATCCTCCTAAGAGAGTCATGCCAGTGCTGATGCCCTGTTCTAATGGGAAAACACACCAAGCAATAGGCACTCAGTTCACCTGCAGCAATGCCACACATCTCGAAAGAGGGGCAACGTGTAT